CCCCAAAACCCCAAAACCCCAAAACCCCTTGATGGATTATATTAACAATTTTGGATATATATAAATAAATAATTTAATAGTATCTGGCAGGTTCAATTAATCAATTTAGAAATATAGATGCGTCATTGATTTTATTTTGAATTGTATTATTTATTATCAATAAATGTCAATAAACGCCTATCTGTTCTACCCCTTAGCACTTTACGCATTCAGCTAGACTATGTACTAGTTATATATGCTACCCAACTACGTAGAGTATCTAAAGAATGAGAGTCCAGGATGCTACTATACTAATCCAAACAAACTATCACTTTTCGTGGGAGTTCTGTTCATTCAAATATGCATTTAATTCCCAGTAATGAGCATCACCAGAAGTATTTTTATGAAAATACTTCCAGATAAATTCCCTGTGGGATCTAAGATTAGAGAAGAGAAAGCGGAAGTTATCGGTGAAAGAATGTATAAGCTGTTCATCTACTCCATTGCGACGATTGGATAGTTCTTTATTCTGAAACAGAGCAAATTTTTGCACGTTTTATTGTGGGGTGACTAATGGGACCCAGAATATTTCCCTAACTACCCTTGTGTCAAAATCCCAACAATGCTTGATGACCTATATGTTCTCAAAATATCATTCCATTCTTATGAAACATTATACTCTATAGTATTTATGAGAAAAAGAAGAGATTTCCCAGAATACATTCTTCATCATATTATCACTTTGGGATTAGTTCTTTTCTCTTATTGCACTAACCAGTTATCATTAGGTGCTGTAGTAATGGTTACCCATGATTTTACTGATTGCTTAGTAAGCGTATTCAAGATATTCTCAGACGTAGTAGGAAAGACATGGTAGTATGTATCTGTATTCTCTATGATACTAGGATGGATTTACTTTAGACTCTGGTTTTTCCAGTATTACGTGATCTATAAATACTACACTCTGAACAGCAACACCGAACATTATGTGTAAGTTTGTCAATTAAGGTTCACCACTAATAATCCATTTTTATAGGTTGAAGAACACCTTCTACTTCTTTTTCACATTTATTTGTGCTCTCTCAGTTTTGAACTGGTTCTGGTTCTCACTGATGGTCAAAGGCATCTATTCCAGAGTATTCAAGACTAGCAACGAATTACTCTACCAAATGAGCAAAGAAAAACTCAACTGAATATAAACACATCTAACCTATTAAACCGAATTATTTAGCAATTTGAATATTTACTATTTAACTTTTTTAATTCTATATGTTTTTCTTCTATTTTTATTGCAAATATCCATTTGGGGTTTTGGGGTTTTGGGGTTTTGGGG